CAAGGGGTTAAGACCAACCCATGAAGCTATTCACAGCCACTGAGGCAGCATGAGTTCGATCCCTGACCAGGGAGCTGACCCACAATGCATAGCAGACCTCTCCTGTCTCTCCCACTGCTCCCCTCAGCAGTGCATTTCAGTAGATCTGCCTGTTCTGCTCCCCGCTCTGTCTCTGGTGAATCCTCTCACCAACCCGCACCTTTGGCCTACACCCCAGTTCTTGGATACAAAAATAAATAAATCTTTAAAAAAAGGAAATGCAATTGACTTCTGTATGTTGATTTTGTATCCTGCAATTTTACTGACTTCCTTGAGTAGTTCTAACAGGATGTGTGTGTGTGCATAGGTATATGGGGGTCTTTAGGATTTTCTATATATAAAATCATGATCCACAAACAGGGACAGTTTCACTTTGTCCTTTCTAATTTGGATGACTTGAATATTTTTCTTGCATACTTGGTCTGCTTAGGACTTGGGGTACTATGTTGAATAGATATATAATGGGCACCCTTGTCTTTCTTGCTCGCAACCTTGAAGGAAAGCTTTCAAGCTTTCACCATCAAGTATGAATTAGCTGTGAATTTATCATACATAGTTTTTATTATGTAAAAGTACAATCCTTCTATATCCAATTTTTTGAGTGTTTTTATCATAATAGGATGTTATATTTTGTGAAATGCAACAACTGAAATGATCATATGCTTTTAATCTTTCATTCTATTAATATCATATTCATTGCTTTGTATATGTTAAACCATCCTTGCATCCCAGGTTTGATCATAAAAGATTATTTTGATCATAAAAGATTATTTTCTTCCTAAATGTTGGAATGAAACGAATTATTCTAGAAGCTTGTTTATCCTTTGAGTTCTGGAATGCTGTGATATATCACTCTTTATCTGCAAGGAGTTGGTACCTCAGTCCCTGATGATGAAATCCCAGATGCAGTGACGCCAGATGTAGCTATAACTCATCCCACATTATAGATAGGAAACTAGACTTTGAGAGATTAAGTAACTCTCCCAAGTTCATATAACCAGAAAGTCAAAAGTTAAAATTCAAACCCAGTCTGTATAATTTTAAAGTTTATTGTGGAGTCTACTGTCAATCTGAACCCTACCTATTTAATTTGCATGTAAAATGTTATAAATGATCTTTCTTCTTTTAGAAAAGATTAAAAGCAGTTTGAAGATAAGTGCCCTACCTATTTCATAATGTGGTTCTCAGGTCAAAATATTCCCATTATGAGTGGGTAAATCTTAAAAACCATAAATTTCTAGATACAATAATACAACACATTATGTGCTTTCCCAGAACATTGTACTAGGTCAAACCATTACATTGGCTCAACTAATTCTGATATGAAAGGACTCAATAGAATAGAAATAAAGGCCCTGGGGTCTTTTGGTTACTAGAAAATCATCCCAGGAGTGACACAATTTAATAATCAAAACGATTATTGAAATAGTGTGGCTGGTGCTGGGTGTGGTGCACAAACAAAACCCCTTCACTATTGGATGTGATATCCCCCCAGCCCCCAACTCCAAACCCCAACATGTGCACCAGGGGCAGCTCCAGAGCCCTGAGCATCATCTCATTTGACCCCATGCTGTTGCACATCCCCATCACAGGGGCAGAGGGGCGGGGCACAGTGAGGTTGAGAGACCGGTGCACCCTCCCTGACCGTGGAACTACAGGGCCTGGTGCTCAAACCCATGAACTGTTCTTCACCACGTGGATGACCAGACCTCAGCGGTCACACTGCTCCTTGCTTCCTATATATATATTTTTTGGTTTTTTTTTTAAAGATTTATTTATTCATGCAGATAAGAACTAGGGTACATGTCAGAGGTGCAGGGTGGGGGTGAGACGACTCACCAGAGACAGAGTGGGGAGACATAAACAGGCAGACTGACTGAAATACACTGCTGAAGGGAGCAGCAGGTGAGGCAGGAGGGGTCTGCTGTGCCATGTGGGTAGCTCCCTGACCAGGGATCAAACTTGTGCTGCAGTGGCTGCCGATAGCTTCATAGTGCTGATGCTTAACCCCTTGCGCCACCAGGGAGGCCCCTCTTCCCTGTATATTGTCTCTAGTGTGGGGTGTGCACTAAAGATGAGGGTGGAACCAAAGTGATTCTAGGGTCCCTGGCTTGGGAAGAATTCACATCCAATCATGCAGTGAGAAAGTTATTCTGTTTCCAATTCTGTCCTAGTTTTTTTGCTTCATCATGCAGATAGTCTGTTTGGAGTCAGTGTGTCTTTAACAACTCCCCCACAATTGCCAGTGTCCATTTTTAACCAAGAAAGAAAAGGTCTCAGAGTCAGGATTTAGGATGGGGCTAGAATTTAAGAGTATAACTTTATCTCCATTTTGCTGATTTTTTTACAATTACTGTGTTATTTACAGATGATAGATACTGGTCTATTTAGTTAGTGAAATAGTTTCTTCTGAAACAAAAAAAATTAAATTTGTGTTCATTAAAACATTGAGATACTATTTCAGGTAGCATGGAGATCTGGCAGAATTTGTGCAAGAGGTATAGGATGATGGTCTCCTGAGAAATTCTGTTTCAGCATTGACCCCTGCATTCAAGGGTAGTTCATGTTTGCAGCGCTGTCTGCCCAGTTGTAACACAACCCAGCCATCGATACAGGCCAGCCATGGACAGAACACGGATGCTGTGTCAGTGGCTCCCTATCATTCTGGGGTCTCTGGGTTGCTAAACAGAGGGGTCTGGGCCATCCTCACTTCCTGTGGCAGTCACTCTCCTCTTGGCCAGCCGGCTGCTGGGTATGGGCCAATCTTCTGCTACAGTGATGCTTTCTGATGGGGAGGCCCTCTGGGGACAGTCCAAAGAGGACTGAGAGAATTGATGAGGAGGTTAGAGTCCTGTAGAGTGGGGATAAAGGTGGAAACATCGTTACTCTAGTGAAGAAGTGAGGATCCCTTCAGAAACATGATGAAAAACCTACATTCATTACCCAGGAAAATGCACATGTATGTGCATGTGTGTCTCCTCTCACACAGGTGAGAATTTTTAGGTTCCAGGTTTTGAATTCCAACCATGATATTACTATCTACAATTCCCCAGTTCATGCCTAAGAGAAACTATAGAGACTTAACTCTGAGATTTGCAAGTTTTTGCATGTTACTCCATCCATGCATCCACCCACACACTCACCCACCCAGCCACCCAGCCACCCTCCTAGCCATCCATCCATCACAAAAGTACTACCCTTCTCTCCTCACACTGGCTCTGAAATGTTTCCATCTGGGACTCCTTCCTGCAGAGGAGAACCAACTTGTTCTCTAAGACCCTGAGACCACTGCTAGGAACGCTCCTAAGTTCAATTTTTTCACATTTAGCTTAAAAGTTTGCGCCAATTTAGAGCCTACTAAAGTCAAGTATTTTCACAAAAAATGTAGCAAAGGTTGTTTAGTAAACCTGACCTTCCAGAGAGATGAGCATTGCTGAGGCCAATGCTCCCTGGGTGTGTGTGTGTGTGTGTGTGTGTGTGTGTGTGTGTGTGTGTGTGTCTGAGGTCTCTAGGGACCAGTTTGGAAAGGCCTGGGCCTCTTTTGTCCTAGTCTCTGTAGCAAGAACATGGAACCCTTAGGGGCAGGATCACCCGCCTCTTCCCACCTGCGTAGTCCCTGGTCCCCAGGGAGGGTTGCTCACTTTGTGATCAGAGGACCCTAACCAGGGCCTTCTGCTCTCCTTTCACAGTAATACAGGTGATGGGCCTCTGACTCAGGGGCTGCCAGCCCCACGTTCACAACTCAGTGGAGGAACATCTGCTACCAAGCACTTCCAGTATTGTAAAGAATATATTTGGGGGCCTCCCTGGTGGCACAAGGGGTTAAGACGCAACCTATGAAGCAATCCGCAGCCACTGCAGCACAAGTTCCATCCCCGGTCAGGGAGACACCCACATGGCGCAGCAGACCTCTCCTGCCTCACCCACTGCTCCCCTCAGCAGTGTATTTCAGTCAGTCTGCCTGTTCTGTTCCCCACTCTGTCTCTGGTGAATCCTCTCACTCCCCACACATCTGGCTTGTACCCCAGTTCTTGTATGCATAAATTTTTTTTAAAAAAGAATATATTTGGGTTTGCAGCTAGAACAAGTCAACTCAGGAAGAAGAGAGAACTGAGGGAGGCCCTGAGGCTGTGTGGAGCAGGGCTGAGAGCCTGGACTCCCCAGCCTGATTTGGGGGTTCTCCTAGGCCTACACCATCAGTCCTAAGAAATCAGACAGGGTGCAAGACCTTCATGTTGCTGGTTCCCTGGGTGAAAAACAAGGCGTGGGGACGGGATGGTCCCTGTGGATTTCTGGCACGGTGCTTCTGCTCATCATCAGTCTCCCTAGGATTTCTGTCTTATCTTTATTATGCCCTTCTTTCCTCCTCCTTTCTTTTTTCTTCTTTTTTAAGATTTATTTATTAATGCATACAAGAACTGGGGTACAGGCCAGAGGCATGGGAGGTGAGAGGACTCACCAGAGACAGAGTGGGGAACAGAACAGGCAGACTGACTGAAATTACTGCTGAGGGGAGCAGCGGGCGAGTCAGGAGAGGTCTGCCGCGCCATGTGGGTAGCTCCCTGGCAGGCGGGGATCGAACTTGTGCTGCAGAGGCTGTGGACATCTCCACAGAGCTGTGCTTAACCCCTTGCGCCACCAGGGAGGCCCTTTCCTCATCATTTCTGAAAGTGCTGCGTGTACCTCACTCTTATAAAAACAACAGCTATCTCTCACTCTGTTCTCATCACCCCCCTCCCCTCAAATATTCAGTCCTGTGCCCACAGAGGATCAGCAGCCCTTGTTCTCAGATGGACGCTTATCTGCTCAGGAGCCTATGTAAGGAGACTTGTTACAGCTCCGTGGGGCAGAGCCGAAGTAGACGAGGCAAGAGAAGTCACATTCCAGGATCTGGTCTAGCAGGTGTCTTCAGTCAAGGAATCTAAGATGATGCTCATATCCTTAAAGATTCTTTTCCTGTTTCTTTTTTCTGATCCCCATAAATGCCTGTTTGATTAGGACCCACCCCACAGTCCAGAATGAGCATTCACTAACCTTAGTTAATAAAATGAGCATTTATTAAATGTTCAGTTCTAATAAATAGTCAGCCATGATCGTTACAACGGGCCACCAGGCCTGGTAAAAATGAAATAGTCTCTGTGACCTTCAAAGAGAAAATGTGACGCTATGCTCTGTCGTTAGAAGTTTGTTCCCCTCACCACCTCGCTGTGGTTTAAAGGCCTGAAGCTAAATTTAGTTTTCTTACCACACTGAAGTCCCAGAGCCTCCTCTGCCAAGCACTGAGATCTTAAAAATCAAAGAAAGGAAAAAACAGAAAGCCGAGAAGCAGGTATGAAGGAAGCCTGCAAAAAGCAAGCCCAGACACACTCTCCAGGATCCCCCTGCTCCTTACCCCCCTCTTTTTTTTTTGAGGAGGCTGGTTCAGCTATTCAGAGTTCCAGGGGGGAAATCAGGATCTTCTGGAATTTTATTTCCAAATGAAGAACAGAACAGCAGGAAATCAAAGACCAGGGACAAGGCTTTGAGGCATCAGCTTCCCACAGCCTAGAAGATGGCTGTTTGTGGGAGCCAAGATCAGCTTCCTAAAGCTGGACTTAAGGTGACCGGGGGCTACATGGCATGCTGGGCTGGGTGATAGCCCCCCACAGCCCACTCTGCTGAGCCCCCTGTGTCCAGTCCCACCCTTTGCTCCTACCTGTCCCCACTTGTCTCTGCCAGCCTATTGTTCATTATAGCAAAGGCACCCACCCCCCCAGAGAATTCATTGTCCCGGGACAGGGTGCTGGCCTGCGGGGGGCAGCCGTTGGCTGTTTCTGACAGCTGCTTCTGGAGGATGGCCAGCGAGACCTTGTTAGCTACCAAGAAGTCCTTCATGGAGATCATCTCCCCTGAGAGCCGCCGCCCATCTGTGTCACTTTCCATCACCCCGTCGGTGTCTATGGAGAGGTTGCACCGGTTCTGGACGTTGCCAGGCATGACCACGTTCCTCCGTGACTGCAAGAACCCTCTTTGGCATGGCTGGCAGCACCTGCTGTCCATCTTCCTTAGGATCCAGTTCATGGACTGTTTGATGAGGATGGAGATGACGTTGAACAGGGAGTAGATGCAGCAGACGCCCATGAGGATGAAGACAAAGTTGGCGACATGGTAGAGGCCTTGGCTGTCATACTGGGCGTTCTGGCTGCTGACCAGGTCCCCAAAGCCAATGGTGCTGAAGGCCACAAAGCAGAAGTAGAGTGAGTCTAAGTAGCTCCACCCTTCGAAGGAGGTATACATGGCAGAGGCACAGCAGGAGATGAGGAGGGAGGCCAGGCACAGGATCAGCATGACATAGTACACGGAGGGCTTCCAGCCCGCCAGGCTGTCCACCTGGCTCTTCCCTGGGTTACTTGTGCTTTCCTGGGGCAGGGCCCCTCGTCTCTGGAGCTGCCGCTGGTGGCAGGACTTCATGATGTAGGCGATGACTGTGATCAGGCGCTCCAGGAAGAGGTTGAAGAATAAGATAGTGCTGGCACACCCGATGAGGCCATAAAAAATCAGAAAGACTTTCCCTCCTACTGTCACTGGAGTTGTCATCCCAAATCCTGCAGGAAACAAAAATCAGAGGAGAGAAGAGTGAGGGGGGTTGGTCTTTGCTGTCAATGGGACCAGAGACTTGGATCTGATGGTTGGCCAAAGGGCCTAACAGAACAGCTTGTGAGACTGCACTTTAGTTCTTTGCCCTAAACTTTCTAGGACCGAGAGGACTCTCGCTTCATTTGAAGACATTAAGTGCTGTCAGAGCTGGGTTGCTGAGAGCCTCGAAGATGCCGTTGTGCAAGTCAGAAAAAAGGCAGCTCCTCCTCCAAGTGATGCAGGCAGTGAAAATGGCCCAGTGATGAGAATGTGGGCTGGATTTCAGCCTCTCCTCCCCGCTCTGCTAGGCAGCCTTGTCCAGTGCACAACCTGAACAACCACACTCAACGTATTCTGATAAAGGCTCATACAAAGATAAGACGTGTATAGATTGATCAGAACTCATTTATTCTCTAAACACTCGGTGTCATTCTAGGAATGGGAAACACAACTCTGGAAAGGACAGATCTGGTCCCTGGCCCTGTGGAGCTCTAGTCTAGTGTGGTGATTGCCATATCCAAAGAGCCCTATAGGAACTGCTAACAACAAACCCTTCTCAGAGTTGGGGCCCTGGGGAGTCTAAGCAAGGAGACTTGAAAGCTAAAGCGGAGTCATGCAGGCAGGAGAGTGTGTGGTCATGTGTGCAAAATGTGCTTGTATGTGCATGTATGTGTGTGCATGTGTGTGCCTGTGCGATAGTGATGATGAGGATGTTCTAGATGGAGAAACAGCAGGTGCCAGCATGTGTAGAAATGAGAGCTTTGCCCAGGCATTTCCATCTTTTAAACAAAAGTTTAAACATCTTTTAAACAAACACACACCTCAATATTTGGGAGTGAAAACTGAGCTGTCGGTTGTTACAGAGTTTGATGAAATATGAAACTTTTTTTTGCCTCTTACTGCTCATTCTTGACCTTTCTACCCAAGCACATAGACACGTTACTAAGAATATCCACTGTAGGATACCAGATGCCACTAAGAAGAGTGAGAAACAGAAAGAGCAGCGATCCACTGGGTCTGTCTCCCCAAGGGGCATGGAACGTGCGAGTGCCTCTTCCAACAGGTCATATCATTTAATCTGTTTAAAAACTTGTCACAAAGCTGTGCTTAACCCCTTATGCCACCAGGGAGGCCCACTGCTGGAGTGGTTTTTTTTTTTGTAGATTTATTTTATTTTATTTGTTTATACAAGCACTGGGTACAGTCAGAAGCGCGGGAGGGTGAGAGAATTCACCAGAGCCAGAGCGGGGAGCAGAGCAGGCAGAGGGACCGAAGTACACTGCTGAGGGGAGCAGCGGGCGGCAGGAGAGGTCTGCGCGCCATGTGGGACCCTCCTCTGGTGGCCGGGGAGCAGCCGGGGATCGAACCGGCGCCGCAGAGGCTGCGGGCAGCTTCGCAACCCAGCGCTCAACCGCTGCACCACCGGGGAGGCCCCACTGCTGGAGTGTTTTAAAGTAAATCCCAGACAGCATTTCATTTCATTCATTAATAACAAGGCAGCTGAGCGGACAAGGACTTTATTTTTCCAACATAACTATTAGGCCATTATCATCCTTAAGGAAGTTAACATGGATCCCTTAACATTAAATGATATCTGGGCCATATTCATGCCTCTAAGAAATATGTTTTTACAGATCCAGCTGAATGAACCATGACTCTTACAAAGTCCCTGTACTTACTATATCTTTTATGCCTCGTTCGTTTGTTAATTGTCTTTCCTCACTCCATTTTCTTATACCGTGACTCTGTGGGGTAAGTGTGTCCTGTAGACTTCAACAAGAATTCATACTAGAAATATTTGAAAAAAAGGTGTATTATATGGCAAATACCAAACACTGCACAGGGATTGGCACAAACTCTAGAAGGTAATTGGAAAGATGTATCAGACACCTCAGCAATATTTTTCTCTTTTTTCTTTTTTTTTGTTTTTAGGAATATGTCCCCCAAATGATTGGAAATGTGACACATTATGTACCCGGGCACCATGTCTTTGCTTTTAAAAGCAACCTAACTGTCACATAATAGGAAAATGATGAGGCAAGGTGCCATTACATTATGAAGGTGAGGTGCCATTAAATTATGAAGCCGTTAAATTATATACACAAAGAGCTCTGAATGTTAGGTGGGAAAAAGCAGAGCTGAAGTGTCTGCAGAAGGACTCAAGCCTGGCACATGGGCATCCGAATTACACATTTGTGGGGTAAAGAAATAGGAATCCAGGTGATAAAACATATCCATGCAGGGATTTACATTGAAGCAGTGAAGATGCTTCTGGATTCCAGTCACAACATCCTCAATAGGGCCCCCCTGGTGGTGCAGGGGTTAAAGACAGCGCTATCAAGATATTGCCAGCCACTGCAGCACGAGTTCAATCCCTGGCTGGCCAAGGAGCTACCCACATAGCACAGCAGACCTCTCCTGTCTCGCCCACTGCTCCCCTCAGCAGTGTATTTCAGTAGATCTGCCTGTTCTGCTCCCCACTCTGTGTCTGGTGAATCCTCTCACCCCCACCCCCACACCTCTGGCTTACACCCCAGTTCTTGGATGCATAAATAAATAAATCTTTAAAAAAAAAAATCATCAATAGAGGGTCCCGACAGGAAGGGGATGTGTCACTTCTTAGGACACAGTGTCTAGAGCCTGGGGCTCCAGGCCAACTTGGGGGCTCTAGAGCCATGAACATGTCACCTTCTGGCTGTGGCCTGTCAACATGTAGGCTAATGACCTTTATGCCAACAGGTTCAGGTACCACCTCCTCACATGTCAATATCTGTCCTCACGTATGTCTAACAGCAGAGAACAACTCCCAGGAAACCCCTTTATATATTCTATGTACGAAATTCCACCATATACCATAAATCAGCACCAAGTCACTCCTAAAACCAGTCATCTACAAGAGGAGAGGATTTCTTGGATGAGTCAGGGTTCAGCCCAGTCCCTGGGGGCAGAGAGGAACCCTGGAACCAATAGTGTCTTCTGCAAACATACCTGGAAAAAAACAACGTAAAGGGAAAAAGACAAAATTCCTAATCAGGTAGTTTCAGCACAGTAATAACAAAGGTGATTTATTTTTCCAAATGTTTTATATCTTTCATTAACTTTAAACTGAGAATAATGCTGAAATATTCTGGAATAATGTTGAATCTTCTAGTTTCCTAAGATTGAGGCAATCCCCCGCCCAGAAGCATCCCCTCTTGACTCTTCAATACACAGAGAAATCAATGTTTGATGTGCATATACTTTTTCAAAAATCTTTTTGATTTGGCAATTTAAAGCCTCTTTGTGTGGGATGAAATTACTGAGGAGTTTGTGGGTGTTTTTTTAAAAAAACTCCAATTTCAATTTAATGGAAAAAGGAGGCAAGAACAGACCTCATGGATGATTCGGGATTGGGGGGATGTTTGGGATTTTGGGAAGGGGGCTCTGATGATGGAGATGCAGAGGGCCGGTGGGGCGTCCCGTGGAGGTCCTCGCCAGGACCTACAGCTGTCACAGCTGAGGGGACTTCACAACCTTCCTGCCCAGCCTTTTTGTTGCAGGTTGGGAAACTGAGGTACCAATAAGCCAGCTAATTTTCATAAAATGTGAAGGCTTCCATCCGGGTCCTTCACCCAGAGTGGCCTCCTTTGCTCTGATGGCCAGTGGTAAGTTACTTCCCAAGATGATTTCGAGCAAACTGCTCCCAGCTCTGTATTCATTTGCTGTTCCCTTCAGGAAGCGATAAAGCCTATTTCTCTTCTCCTTGAAGACTGAGTGACCTTGAGACCTGCTCTGACCCACAGTGTGGAAAGAAGCTGTCCTGGTTCTGCACTTAACTGGCCAGAAGCTCAGCCATTTCCGCCTTCTCCCTCTGGACCCCGAGTCACCTTGGAAGACAGGTGACCACCAGCTGGAGAGGGGCACCGCCAGCCACCCCCAGCCTCAGATACGATGTCATCTTGGATGTCCCAGTCCCAGTCGAGCTCCCAGATGGATGCAGGCACGTGAGTTAACTGGCTGCACCACAGAAAGTCAAGAACCACCAGCTGAGCCCAGCAGATGTGGAGACTTGTGAGAAACGCCATGTGGTTGTTCAAGCCACTGATTTGGGGAGGTCTGCTGCCCAGCACAGGAGAGGAGACGTCTCCTCTCTGGGAATTGTGATTATTTCAACAAGCCTCTTCTGTCCTCTCTCCTTTCCTCCCCAGTTCCTCCCTCCACTTTTCCACCATAATTGGGTGTAAGGGACTTAAAGGAGATTTAAGAGGAGGCCTGCAAAGGATTTGGAATTCAATGGAAATTTCATTTCAAGCAAGTTGTTGAACTTCTTTGATATTTTTTAAAAGATTTATTTATTTATGCATACAAGAGCTGGGGTACAGGCCAGAGGTGTGGGTGGGGGGTGAGCAGATTCCCCAGAAACAGAGTGGGGAACAGAACAGGCAGACTAACTGAAATACACTGCTGAGGGGAGCAGCGGGTGAGACAGGAGAGTGAACCTCTGATATTAAGGAACAGGGCCCGGCTGAGGGCAGGGAGGGCTGGGAGGCAGAGGGCATTCTACCACGGATACGTATTTGGATAGTTTCTCGTTAGGGGCCAGTGAGAAAGGGATTTCCACAGACATTTTTGATACATGTCTTCTGGTGAACATACGTACATTTCTTTTGGATGCATATACTTAGAGTGGAAGTGATGATTCATAGGGCATGTTCAATAGAGTGGACATACAATTTATCCTGTCTTCACCGATGCTGGAGAGTCCAGGTTCCTTTGTATTCCTGACAATACTTTCATTACTCCAGGGCGGGGGCCTCCTTGGTGGTGTAAGGGGTTAAGACGCAGCCTATGGAGCTATCCTCAGCCACTGCAGCATGAGTTTGATCCCTGGGCAGGGAGCTACCCACATGGCGCAGCAGACCTCTCCTGACTCCCCGCTGCTCCCCTCAGCAGTGTATTTCAGTCAATCTGCCTGTGCAACACCCCTGCT